TTGTACTTCGGATGCCATCACGTGTAATTTAAATAGGATCAGCAAACAAAATTGAAAGTTTCTAACGAAATTCGGGTTTATACCCACTTTTTATACTTGGCGAGGCATGGCAAAGAGGTGAACTGCTGCGTAAAGAGCATGCTATCACTATTACGGCTGCGGACCGCACTGTCTGCGTTCTCGCCGATGGCCAAGGGTCAAGCTCCCCTGTTTCGCATTATTTGAATCGGAATCTAGCGCAGGCGCCCTTAACGCCGGTCAGTTTGCGTAAAAATTTCCTCCCCCGTAATCCCTTCTTAGAACTCAACGTACAGTGAGCAAACATTTGCAATTTTTAGCTCAGGAATAGAAGGACGTTTTTAAATGGCACGTAGATTTGAATATCCTTTTACGTATATCTTTATGCAATTAATCTTCGACGGAACTGTTTCGATTTTTGTACTAACACAGATGATCGGAGATTATACTTAGACATATTTTCGAGTACTTTGATAGATCGGCAGCTTACCAAAGTGGCACGCGCTGCCGGTAATTTGCGAATCTTAAATCGTTGACCATATCGAGGCAAATGGAAGCAATTCATCAGCATATTCGGGTCTTTTGGTGGTACCAAAATCAGTGATTCCTTTGTATTCGTTAATTTTGCTCTTGTATCGTGCAACATTTAAGACAGAATTGAGTTCTAAATCGGCAGAAAATGCATCCCTGCCATCAAAAAAAAAAGGTTAATGTTGTTACTTAAAGGACGTTTCTCTGTAGTTGCATCCTATCCAAGCTGCTAATTTCACGATCCATACTCAGTCCAACTTCAATTAATTAAACAAAGAATGTGTACTTGTAAAAATTTTCAATGTGTGAAATAGTCCAAGTACATACATACGTACATGTTACAATAAATACGAATTCTATTATTACTTTGAGAATGAAAAATTGTCAGGTACCCAGGTTTTGAGAAATCTTTCGTGACTTGTAAATCACGTCATTACGGATGATGTAGTTTCATTGAGGGGGGTTGTTTAAAAAATAAAAGGATGCCATCGCTATTATCTTCATCGGAAGACTCGCGTGTCCCTCTCCAGTGAAAAGCAATAGAATTGATTTAGAGTGCTCGCGGTACTTCGAAATTAGATTGCAGAAAAAGTTGCGTGATTGTTTCAACCTTCCCCGACATCAAATAATTCCATTACTTTCGACTGGCATTCTTCTTTTATTCAGGACACATTTATTGCTAATTCTGTCTGCCATTAAATTCTAATTTGCTTGCTTTCAAATGTCCATCGCGATAGGAAAACAGCGCAAGGAATGGTAGTACATTCGTCTCATTAGTAATTTACTGTACGCTCCATTACGAAGCATAAGTCGTCGTTAATTGTTCGTCAAACCTTGTAGAAATCGACGTTAAAACAATAGACTGAGTGTCATTATTAAAAACACGTCGATTAAACATAAAGAAATACAATCATTTCTCATACACAAAATTGTGAGACTATATTAAAACGAATGTCTCCGCAGGGGGTGAAATCTCGTGGGGTCACATTTACGCAATCAAGTAAAACCTTATATTAGTGGTGCGTACGTATTTTATTAATCATGATGGATCCAACCGACAAATTACGAGTTATTTTATACGTACAAAAATCCAAGAATGGTGTTCATGGAATTTCGACGTCGAAACACCCTCGTCGTTGAACATACCGAGCGTTACTAAATGTGTTGAAACGCCACTTTACGTTGTTGTTGAACTCTTGATTATTGACAATCGATATCAAGCCTGCCATATTGCCTATGTTTAAATGACGACCGTGAACCAGGCTGCATTGTCTTTAGTTAGCAGTATAAAAGCGCAGCTTTTAAAGTTATACGTGAGACAAAGTTTGCCGAATTATATTAATTTCTTTAATAACGCGGAAGGATAATAATAATCTATGCCTGCCACAATATAAATTAAGAATAAATAAATTTAAAAAAAAGTCAGAAACATTATTATTATTATTATTATTATTCCTTTTTAAATTCGTTCGCTAATTTTCTCATTTAAAGAGTTGAGATTTTATCAGGTAATCTGCTGCTTATCAGGGAGTCTGCATTATTGATTTTCGCTGAGAAACTTAAAAAAAGTAATTTATTTCCTTGTTGATGCATCGATCTCGTTTAATGATCATCAGTATTTAATGTATACGATATGTTTTTCGTGTTGAAACTATGTACCGAATATCGATCGATTCAATTCAATGTCAAAGTCGCGTATTCTTGAAAGAATAAATATTCAGACTCCAGTCACGGTATTCTGTACCTCGCGTTTCTGCACTGGTGCTTATCAGAGTGGAAATGGAAATGCACAAATTAAACTTGAATCGATAAAAATGAACTACTTACTCAGAACGAATGCTTTTCACATGTTTCTGTTGACGCGTGTTCATCAGATAACATAAACAATCGTATTACAATTTTTAATAAGAAGGAATGATATTATACACTGACTAATCATTAAATGTGACGTCCTAGGAGTCATTCTATTTACTGGTTATCTTCACCACGAAGCAACAAATGCGACTATAGATCCGACGGTATTCCACAAAGAGCACACACTTCTTTCGTATTTCAACACGTTCGTATATTTATGATGTACATTTGGAGGTTTGAAAAATTCATAGAACAGTGATATGGAGGTAATGCGTGTGAGAGAAAGAGAGATGTTTACCTTCTTGGTAGCAGGGGTAGGGTGCTACCGAAAAGCCAAAGCTTCCTATCTTGGAGCCATTTGTCCATGCGAAAGCTTCTCACAGGAATCTCGTCTGTTCGGTGGAATATTCTTGGTACATCGTTGGGATCTTATGTTCGAATCTCGTCGGAGGTGCCGGCATTATTGCCACCGATCGTTTTACACTCGGAGGCGGTAGGTACGTTTCACCAGAGAATGAAACCGATTAGAATTAGGCTCTCTACCATTTGTTTGTCTACGTCACCGTCGCTGATCGATAGTCCGTACGAGTTACCGGATGAATCGCGAATAACTAAATGCCGAATCGTTTATAACATAAACGCTCCGACGTTGATGACGCGCGCTTTCGTCATTTCACTATTTGTGTTCCCATAGATACAGATCGAAAGTTTCAAGTTAAAATTTGCGCGTGGTAATTGTTACTCGGCCCCGTTTTACTATTATCTTATGGCATTCGATCTGTCACGATTATCTTCACACTAACGTTAGTTAAACCCTTTGAATTCTACTTTAAATTCAAGTGATGTAGCACTAAAAACTACAGATACACGAGTATTTAATTTAAACATAATTTAGTCCGGTACTTTCTAAAAGGATTTTTGGGCGTATTGACAGTCGAAAGGTACAGATAGTTCGTAATACTTTTATTTTACACAAAATTACATATTAGCGTTTGCACTTTACACAAATATACAGAACATGTACGAGTTAATTACATTCTGGTCCCTGCTCTTGCAAGAACGAAATCATTTTTGTAGAATAAATTCGTATATCTCTGTTTCAAGTGCGATTAAAGAGTTTTGGATGAATCTGAACCGAATCATTCGTTTAAATCGCTGTATATAAAAATTTGTCTCCCGTCTTTTGAATCTCTTTTATCTCGTGAGACTGAGTGTCCATGCATAAAATACATTTTGATGCAATTGTACAGTTTTACATTCTTATTCCTATCAACATATATACATTGAAGTTGACTGGATTCATACAGAACATCTTTTTTTCATTTCTTACTTCGTACGAATTTATACTTGAACTCTTTTCATCTGGCAGTTTTTGGATTATTCGATAAAGTGATCATTTTGAAATAGAAAAATTAAGAAATCGTTGCAATTATGATTCCACCAGCAGAATAATATGAATAGAAAAGTAAAAAAGTAACAACAGCATGTTTTTGATACCGAGCTTAATTACGAGAATTTCAAATAATAACTATAATCAAATATTTTTTTCTAAACACTTTTGGCATGTCTTTGTATACCGGTCGACGACTTGGGCTTCTCCGTTTCGTGTTGTGCTTCCCCTTTGACAGTGAATGTTACATAATATTTTTTTGTACGATCCAGTCTTTCAGCTGGAAGAGCTATTATTTGTTTCTCCTCTCCATGCGTCACTTCCACCTGCAACAAATAATATTTTTTATACACGTTTCCGAAGAATTATATTACTTTTAACGAAGTGCCGTCAGAAAATTAAGTTAGGAGAACGAATCCAGCAAGTTACAAGTGAAACGTTATCGTTTTTTTTAATTTTACCGTCATTTGTCCTTTTCCTCGGCTTTCTATCTTCGGAAGAAGATCCGCTTGTTCTTGGCCGCCTCCACCTACTGCAATTATAATCTACAATCACGATAGGGAAACTGATCCCCTTTGAAAATCGTCTGGATTGAATTCATACATTCAGTATTCCATCCCGAATGATCAAGCTTCTAACTGTTTTCGAACGTTTTATATCTTTTAAGATTATTCAACATTTGAAATGGAATTCTGAAGATTCTATGTAATATATCGTAAAAACATACGATAAGTGTAAACCGGGAAAGAGGTGTAAGCACTTGTGGCGTGATGACAGCGATGCGTTTTCTGAGTGCATTGTTTTGCTTCCGTGCAGAAATCTGGCGTTGCTGGTCTTTTCTGAAGTTTCCTGAGTTGGTCGTACAAAAACGCCTCAAAGTGCCTGTTAAGAGATATTATTTATGATTTATAGATTAATGCTATGTAGATGTCAAATGAATAGAATTGCAGAAAGGAACCTAAACGTTAAGGGTTGATCGTATTTCGCCACGCCAAGGGTCGGTCCAGACATCCCAGCTTTATGAAATGCCTCTACCTAAAATGGGAATAACGTTATAATATTATATCATACAATTAAATGTGTAATACCATTTTGTAGATTTCATAAAACGAAGCTATTACTTGTCTTTTCACTAAAACTTGTTCATTCGCTCTGCCATGACGTATCTGCAACCTCTTTAATTCCATCAGTTGGAAAAATATTTTCCTCTCCAGGTGATATCGTCGCAGACTAATTTGCACGTCCCTCGTTATGGTGTCCATGTTGAGTGACTGCTGTTTGTCTGTGTTCGGGCAACATTTCATAATTCTCCTTCTTGGTATTCTTGACACCCTGGGGCTAGGCTCTATGCCACTGTCTCTGCCGCCGCTGTCCCGACGTTGTTTGCCTTGCAATCGACTAGTTCTACTCTCCTGCGGGCTTTGAACTCGCGTTAAGCGAATGCGAGAACTAGATTGCACCTACGCAAACGAAATACAAAATTATTGCTTCACTACGTTTTCATACTTATATTAAAAAATTGAGAGAGCTTCAAAATCACTTGAATAGTTTTTCAATTCTCCTCTTTCTAAGTTAGTTCAGTTATAAAGAAATATTAAAAAAATAAACGTTTCACCTGGGGTAACGAGTCGGTCGCTGAAGTTTTGCAGACATCCGGACCCACTCGAGACATTTCTTCCTCGCTAGTGCTCGGTAATACTCTCACGACGCCCATCTCATTATCCTCCTCAGGTTCGGTCTCGTGTTCTCCGTCTTCGCCGATCGCGTCTCTTATCTCTTTGTCGATCTCCTCGTCCTCGTCGTCCCATTCCGGGCTCTCGATCACCGCCACAATTGCACTCCTGTCTGGAGAGCGTTCTTCTGAACTTTCGAACAAACATTTCTTCTCCACCGACGATCGAGACCGTCCAGTTTTCCTAACTTTCCCCGTCGACGGTCTCGAGCGTCTGACTTGCGCCGATTTCGGTGAACTAGAAGAACTTTCGTCGATGTACCGGAAGCTCTCCTCTTCTAAAAGGATATAAAGGAATATAACGATTTTGTATTTTGCAATTAACTTCTGTTTTGTATTAATTATTGTTGTCTGTAGTATTTAGAAGTCAGTGAAAGAAGTTATCTTACCTGTCGTTGCTACCTCATCTGCTGCACGTTTCTTTACTTTTTTCTCCTCCTTTTGATCTTCCAACGTAGTCTTTGATGGAGGCAAGCCTTGAACGGCTTCCTCGTGGACAGACATTTTTCTTTTTGTCGTACTCGCTGTTTCGACGCTTAACGATCGTTCTTCGGCTTCTTCCATTAACGCGGAGTCTTTCGAGGATGAAAAGTCGACCGATTTTCTACGGAGAGCACTTGTTTGCCCCTTTTCATCCGTCGACTTTTTGCCCGAGCTTTGCGACGATTCTTTAGTGACACTTCCATCAGCTTCCCGGGTATCCGACGTCTTGTCTTCGACTCCCTTGCTCGTTTTCACAGAAATCTTTTTCGTACAAGATTCGCGTTTCTTCAGTTCCTTCCTTCTGTGGCTTTTTTTGGGGCTCTCGTCAGATTGCTTCGAAGACGAAGATTTCGATCTTCTTTCGTCGAACGACGATCTTCTCCTTGCTGTTCCGGGTTTACTTTTTGATGCACTTTTGGCTTCCTCCGAAGACGATTTTTTCTCGTCATCCTCCGATGGGAGAACGTCTTCTACGACTGTTCTTGGCGTGGCATCTTCTCTTTGCGCATCCTTTTGACTAATTGAACTCTCGGATTTACTAGCCTTTTCCGATTCTTCGTAATCCTCCTTGATAGTGTGTTCAGATACGTCGTGTTTCGTCTCGGATGACGTTCCTTCGGATTTGGAAGCGAGTTCGTCCTGCTGACTCTTACGTCGTTGGTACTCCTTCTGAGACGTGGGACTTCCCTTGTCACTCGTCTCGTGTGCGTCTAAACTGCCTGGAAAGAGGACTCTACAGAAAATTGACAGAAAACTTAAACAAAAGTAATTATACCAACATATTGAAATACTATACGTAATGAATTTAAATTATATTAAATATGAATTTTATTTAAAATTGTACCTTTTTCACTTTCATCCTTTTTTTCAAGAGGCACTTCCTTTTCATCTAAATCTTTCTTCACTTTTTCTTCACCCGGTTCTTCCTTTACATCCTCTTTAGAGTCTCCTACTTGCGTCTTTTCATGTGTCATTTGTTGCCTCATTTCTTCTACGTCCTTCTTTAAACTAACCGCCTTTTGAACAAGATTGCTGCTCAGTTCGTCACTCTGTTCTACAATGTCCTTACTAGCTTCCGAGCTACCGTCCCTCGACCCTTCTTCCATCTCGATCACTTCAGTCCTTAATCGATCATCGAAAGTGACTTCCTTTTCTACAATAGACTTCGGCGTGTCCGGGCCTTGATCCTTGTGAACCATGGCTGTCACAACGACCCGTTCTACTGTCTCTTGGCTAGTGCTATCAGTTACGTCTCTCCGATATCGACTTTCAATAATTTTCTCATGGCTCCCTTTGTCCTCGTCTACCGAAGTCCTCGGAGTCTCCTCGCTGTGAAACGTAGAATCCCTCTGTTCTTGTTCCTTGTCAAAGGACTGCATTCTATCGCTCGTACTGTCACCGTTTTCCAGCCCTTTTTTAGACTTCGATTTCCTTTTAGTACTCCTATGAGTTTTAGTGAACTTCAACTCTTTCGAACTCTCCTTGGGTGTTTTTGATCTCTTCCCGGAAACCACTTTCTCGCATTTCTTTTCTAAAGACTTCCGCACTACCACCACTTCCAAACTGTCATCGCTCACACTTTCCTCGCTGTCGTCCTTTCTCAAGTATTCCCTAGCTTCCATTTCGTTGCTTCTTTCCGTTTTACTTTCTTCCACGCGCGAATCGAACTTCTGTCTTGAAGTGTCCTCAGCGTAATCGTAGCTGTCCGATTCTATCGAAGATTCGCTCGACTCGCGTCTAGATTTTGTCGAGCCTTTCTTGCTCCTCTTTCTTTTTAACTTACCGTCAGTATCGTCTTCATCGTATCTGAAATATTTTCATAATTCTTATATTAAATTTTATTTAATAACCGTAAGAATATTTAAGTATTGAAAATTATAATTTAGAAATTAATATCTGTATAAAGTGTATTACATGCTAAAGTCGATGATCCAACGAATTCTTCTATATTAAAGTAAGTAGATTGGGAAAACCTTACCGCGCTGACTCGCTACGGGCTCTCCTTTGATCTTTCTTCGACGACGTCTTCGACAATCTAATTTCTTCCTCGCTGAAACTCCGGCTATCCTGACGAGCTAATTTCCTCAAATTTCCTCTTCGCCGCGTTCGCTTCTCGATCCACTGCTCCTCGTAATATAACTCCGGAAGTTTACAGCTACGACCGCGTCTACGTGGGCTGCTCTCCGTATCAGAACTGCTCTCAACGTGTCTCATTCGCAATTTCGCTGCGAACACTAAAATTGTTCTAAGTTTACAATCACCAATTCATTGTATGAAACTACTGACTGTCGTACATTCAGCCAGTCAATTAAGGATGTATTGGCTATACATTCAATCCCAAAAGTTTATGTACCTTAGAAA